ATAAGGACGTGGCCCTTCAATTGAATAAATTTGAATTCCCTTCACCTAATGATACTTTGTGCCAAGTTTGGTTGAAATTGGCCCAGTGGTTCTTAAGAAGAAGTCAAAAATGAAAAAAGTTAACGACAACGACGACGACAACAACGACAACAACGACAGACAATGGACAAATTTTGATCAGAAAAGCTCACTTGAGCCTTCGGCTCAGGTGAGCTAATAATCATTAAATATTGTAATATTAAGTGCTCTTATTTCAATGCATATTTTTTCTGTCTTCTTTATTCTATTGAATTCTGTTTATTTTGCTCTTGACGTAACAGTATAAATGATGTAACAATTAAGATGACGTCATAATAACTGATGTCGTGATATAGAAACAAAATCAGAATAAACACAATGGGTTGCTTCCATAGTAAAGTTGCGCCTTTTCCAACTCCTTTTCGCACCAAAAAACAGCAAAAGAGGTTTTAAAAGATTCTGAAGAAGAAGGGAATCAAAGCCAAAGTGAGCGGGGGAGGGGTTGCCTTTCATATTCCAGTAATTGGTGGAGGAGAGCTGATGTGGACAAACGTATTGTTTCTGAACAAAAGACTCCAGAGAAAAGAGAATGAGGATGAAGCTGCTTTAAAACGTAAGAACAATGTAGAAGTATCTGTAATTTGCCACCACATTTAGGGTCTAAGAGTTAAGGAAAGCCTATAGTTTCTTTAATTAGTTAAATGTATAAATAATGGATAAATACTTATTTTGTGTTCCAAAATGATTCTTTTTCAGGTAAAAGGGAGCTTGCAATGATAGAGAAGCAAGAGAGAGCCAGAGAACGAAGGGAGGAAATAGAGAGGAGGAGGAAGGAAAAGTTGAGGAGACAATCGCTACATCGCCAGACCAATTATAAACTGTTTTAGCTGCTGGATATTTTACAGTGATTTGGGATTGAATGAACAGAATGTCTCTTTTTTATTGTTTTAATAAAATTATTTTTTTTACTCCTTAAACAGAATGTTTGTTCTTTTTTGTTTGGAAGGATTGATTGTAAGTTGTTTAATGTTCACCTCGAAAATTTTTAAATTCACTCATCAAGCAGGGAGAAACCACCACCTGCCGGCAGAGAGCTACAAATTTTGCCCTATACTAGGCACTAAGGGTCATTAAGCAGTGAGGGATCTTTTTCGTGCTAGCACCTACTGCGACACGGGACCTCGGTTTATACGGTCTCATCAGAAGGATCGGTCTTCACGTCCCACAGTGGGATTCGATCCCGCGACGTAAAGATCAACTCCTTACTCCGCGAGCAGAAGCTCTATCTACTGCGCCACTGGCCAGACGGCGAAATTTCGAATCACATCTACAGGACATGTCCTGACTCAGTCTAAATATAATTGTGTTACTGTGAAGAAGGTACATGTAAGATGGATTCAGAGAACTAAAAGAATCATTTTGACTCTGACATGGCCGCGCAAGATTAATGACATTCAAAATTCTGAAACCTTAGTCCACTGAACATCAAAAAGGAAAATTAACCAGGTTTTTATAGAAAATAAAAATGTTTTTTTTTTATCAACTATACACCTCATTATCCATAAGATTAACATGAAATATGTTGCGATATAAGGAAAAACAAAATGATAAAAAAAAAACCAGAAAAATTTCCTTTTACAAGTCTTAGGAGAAAAAAAAAGAATTATCTACTTTTCTAAACCTGTAACAAGATAAAACGTCTCCTCCATAAAATAAATGTTTGTATCATCTTTCCTTAAACAATACGAATCAAGAGCATCCGGCGTAAACACGGACCTTTAAAACACCAGAGGTGAGATCAGGTGCAATTGAGGAGTGAGCATCTCCTGCCAACCGGTCACAACCCTGTGTGCTCCTTGTCATGATCGGGAAATAACACGGAAAAATCCGTCAACAATTCAATGTGTAAATACTGACGTCAGTCAGCATTTGACTAAATGATGATTGTATTTTAAACGAGACTGTCGTAATTCTTGTTTCATCAACTTGTTTGTGAATAACTACCTCTTAAAAAAACTTTCATACGTAGAGCATGCTCTTGCGTATCGAACCAGTCATAAATGTACATGTATAATGCTGCATATAAGTAATAGGAGTTAAAAAGTCATCACGTTTATCATAGAGCCTTGTTGTTAGATTACCATTATCGTCTTTTTATAGTAAAATACCTAAATTATAAATAGATGTGTCAGATTCTATGATATCGTATATTTCAAGCTCACCGGGTCATATCATATCGACATAAGAATGGACATAACCATTGATAATTGACGATAAATGACTAAAAACAAGGTAAGTAAAAATAGAAGTTCAATTTTTATTGAAAAAGCAGCTGTCAATAATGTCAAAAAGCGTGGACTTTAATTTATTGTTGGGAATTATCATACATGTATATAAAGTTGTAAAGTCGTAGGTTTTTATATGGTTGATTTTGATAAAATTTTGTGATTTCAAATTTTCCAAAAGTTCCTTGAAATTTTGAGGTATCCACATCTGATTTACACCAAATCTCGAATAAATAGTTGCACATTAATAATAATACTTTTGAAGTTTCTCCATCACTTCTGTTAAAACTGGTATCCTAGTAAGGAGTTAACATTTACTGTTATATCTTAGGTTGTTTGTAAGGATTTTAATGGAATTTCGGAATCCAATAAGATATTATGGTAATTCAAATTCATAAATTGGTTGTTAGGAATATACCGGTATTCAAAATTGACATATCTTTTTAAAAAAAATCTTCTTAGACAGGGAACTATATATATAAGTACAAGTTGTATTGTAAAATTAAATCTCAGTTCCTGTTAAATACAATTTAAAGAATGAGCCTTCATCTTCAGCCTTCATTACATACATGTATGAGGTACATCTCAGTTGATTCGATACGTAAGAGTATGCTCTACGTATGAACATTTTCTAATACGAGGTAAATTATTGACAAACAAATTGCTGAAACAAGAATATCAGCAGTCTCGTTAAAAGTTATCACTTCGTAAGTTGTATGTTCGATTTAATGACTTAGTCAGGAAATACAATTTATCATTATGTCAAATGCTGACTGACGTTTTTCACACTTATTGTTAGGCCATTAGTTACATGTACTGAATTGTCGTCAGATGTTTCTGTTATTTTCGGATCATGACAAGAGTCACACCGCAGGTTTTACCGGTCGGCAGTGGATGCTCACTCCTCCATGCACCTAATCCCACCTCTGATGTTTTGGAGGTCCGTGTTTGCTCTGATCCTGATTTGTATTGTTTAATGTATGTACTTTTGAGCTTAATAAATGTTGAAAAGGAGGTCACTGCAAATGTTTTTTTATTTCTAGAAGTTTTTTAATAAACTTCTTTTCATTTTCAGAAGTTTTTTTTTTCAATAAAAAACTTCTTTAACGGGTCATTTCTAGAAGTTATTAAATAAACTCTTTGTTGAAATAAAAACAAAAAATTATAACTTATAATAACGGGACACATTGGATATACCATTGGAATGTGTGCAGTATTTTTAATGTCTATATGTGGATTTGTACACCTCTTCTAAAACAATTTTTGTTAATAAAAATTTGTAGTTTATTATTAATTTTTGTAAAAATCAACTTCGGAATTTTATATCTTGTCAAAACTCCTGTATACATGTAATCACAATTTTAAAGGAAAAAATTGTAAAGGATCAGTGAAAAGGTATGTAAAATTTACGTGTTTTATTTTTATTGAAACAAGCAGTTATCCATATATGATGTCAAAAACCGTACTTTATAATTTATCATGCTTGAGGAATCTACTGAGAGAAACAATTTTGCTAGAAAAAGGCCCATGACCTTAGTGATAAAAATTGAAAGTCATGTCATTGTCATAAATAAAAAAAAATGAATCATAAATCTGTCCTGGTGGACACAATTTTGTTTTATTCATTTTTTTTTTCTTTAAGGAAAACCTTAGTTTAAAATTTGCTTCTAAACATTTAATTTTTGAAGGTTATTATTCTAATCTATAAAGCTATAAAAAATTAAACTCCAATTAATATGAGAGATCAAAATTTCTTGTGTTACTTTAATAATTGAACCTTGAGATGCTATTTCGAATCAATTGTTAGTTTATATCTTAGACCTTAAGTAAAACAACTTAGAAATTTAAGGATCCCACCTCTGATGTTTTAGAGGTCCGTGCTTGTTCTGCTCCTATTTTTTGTATTGTTTTATGGACTCTTGATCTTGAATACTGTTCATTATCTCCATATGTTTCATTTTATGATTTTACTCAAGAATTATAGTTAAGGTCTGGACAAAATGCATTGACAGTCAGTAAGATTACCATACAAAATAAACAAATAACATAACAAATAATAAAATAAATAAATAATTCTGAACTCCATCTCGGGAATACGTAATTATATAAAATCGGGTAAAAAAACCTCATTCCCTTTTATTGAAGAAACACTAAAAATGATAAAACCTGGGAAAAACACTTTCATGCTTTTTAGGTAAAATCTTCAACAACTAATGCGATCTAATATAATTACGATAAAGTCAAAGCATTTACGTTTTCGATTTATTATAAATTATTAATATTTATCGAATATCTTAGAAATCATGTGATATAGTATAATTTCATCAAACTGGGAAGTTCATATTTAATGGGGGCATTTTATGACTCCAGAAACAAAATAGACAAACAAAAACATTACATCTCATTAATAGCTCGATTCGAGGAGAAATATTTCTGTGTGACGTGGATAATTTTGATCTTCAGAGAGAAATTAGATCACATGTTTTTCTCAGACCGCCTCTGTTCTAACGACCGAATCCGACACCAGCCAATCAGCGATCAGCATTTCACAAATTCTTGTCATTTTACAAGAAATCACAAACTAATACAAAAAAAAATCTTCAATGAGACAGTCTGTTGAATAAGACAAATATAATAAAAGGCATCTAATGAAAATCTTAGCGAAAGAAGCAAAGAGAAAAAAAAAACTCGACATTAAGTGAGGCAACATTCATATGGCAGTGCAGACACTAAAAGAAGCATGGAAGGGTTAACCGAGTTTGTGTCAAAATCTTTTGTCAAAGACAATATACCAAAGTTCCCCGAGTCAACCCCTACCTTTCCCTGTAAGGTAGAGGCTGGGTTTGACCCCCCGTCCGAACCCACGGATCTGAGGACACGTAAGAGGAGTGAAAGTCCGGAGCCTAAAACCTCCAAAAACGAGGTACAAGAGGGGACCCCTCCAACCACTAAAGTAGAAACAATAGAGTGTTCCGATGAATCTGACAATGGTACGTAAATATCGCTTTATTTAACATACATTTTTTATGTTTTAAGGGTGTAAGGCCTTTATTTTAAATCCAGTGACATTAATGTAAGTTCATTCAAATTATGTAAATAATGATGCAAATCAAGTACATATATACAAAAATTATCCTTTTATCATGAAAAAACATATTTTCTAAAGCAAATGAACAAAATATTTAGGTACAAGAGAAACAATATATTTTCTAAAGCTGTATTTTCCCTTACGAGTCTTAGATATAATTTTTACAAAAAAGACTCCCAAAATGGTATATGAATAGTATTTTTTTTATTGGTAATTTTGTTGTTTAAATTCAGTAAATATTAGTGTTGAAAGAGGGCAGAAGGAATAGAATAAATGTATCACTAGGATTGGGAATTAAGAAAGTATTTTATATAACAGAAAACACATCATACCAGTTTCTTACTGTCTAAATATTATTATTGGAGTTTTGTGAAGAGACTTACTTTTTACATTCGACAGCTGATTTTTACATTTTAGTAAATGGAGATTGTCTCTGTTTAAATTGTATATGTCAGTCGTCGATTGTAAAAGTAAGTCTCTTCATAAAACTCCATTTGCATGATTCTTTGCAAACTTTGCATGCAGATAAAATCATCATCTACAAATGAAACATATATACACTTTATTCATAAACAACCATGGAAAATGTATTGTCTTTATTAAGTTATCATTCAGGATAACAAATTTATTTTTATACCCAATAGCAATTTCAAGTTCCATGAACGATTGTAAATTATTAATCTTGAGATAATTATCATGCTTAAAATTATAATTAAAATAAAAAAAATGATTCTGTGATATTTACGTGGAAACATATTTTATTAGAGATTGAGAATAAGGAACTATGTCAAGATCCTTAGACAATTTGATTTTAAATGGAAAAAAATGGAGAAACTACAAGTATAAGTTTCAGTTGTAAAAGAATCTTTATAGGCTCAAGAATGATGTACTTTCGTTATTGTTGTTATTGTTACAATGTAAAGGAAAAAAAAAACATCTCAGAAAGAAAATTGAAAAGCAATTTCTGTTAAATCACTTGAATCTCATATTATTTCAGAGAGAGAGAGAGAGAGAGAGAGAGAGAGAGAGAGAGAGAGAGCTTTTCAAAGTTTCGTGATGAGAGTTGTTGAACTTGCATCAATTATTTAATGCCAGTATAACGAGGAAATATGAATTTCATATATACATATACTGCATACTAATGGATTGTATTCTATTCTTTTGTATCATTTAGATACTCAGCAGAGAAAACATAGTTTTCATTGATGTTCTCTCTTTTTTGCATTTTACATGTTTTCAATTTCTCTCTTCTTCTATTTTTTATTTCGAATGTTAAAGTCTTTATTGACATTGATTCAAAATAATTATCGATAAAATCAAATATATCGAAAAAACAATTTTAAATCAAGATTAAAAGTTTATTACAACAAGACAAATCGTGAGCAGAGCAAACGCCTTTAAAAAGCCAGAGCTAAGTGAGATCAGGTGCCATTGGGGAGTGAGCAAACCCTGTCGACCGGTCACATAAAAGGTGGAACATTTATATATATTATATACATATACAAGCAATGTTTATATCTAGTCCACCCTCTACTTTAAAAACAATTTTTTTTTCAGTGATATATTCATTTTATTTAAAAGAATTAGAATACATGTAGGGATACAATTAACCCTCAGCTAGGCACTTTTATTTCATGTAGATCTGTATTACTGGCAACCGTCGAAATCAAAAACATGTACCGGTATTTAAAAAAATGAGAAAATAAAAGAAAAATTAAAGTAAAGACATATACATATTTTATGCAACTTTGCTCAAATGTGTTCAAAAAGGGAACACATTGAAAAAGTTTGGCACAAATTAAAAGTTTAAATCAAGAATGCTCACACTTTGTCTCCATACAATGTATATAATCTTGATGATATATGTAGCACTAATGGAAATATAGCCTCCGACCCCCCCCCCCCCTCCAGCTTGTACTACTTTACAGAGATCCCCCCTACTCAAGGTTGGACGAATTCAAAACTGAGCGAATTGAAAGAACACAGTGTAATATTTTAAACAGAACTGTGACTGGAAGAATTTAGAACTGAGCAATATTGCTTTTAAATGAAAAACGGGTGATTATTACACTAGATAAAAATAACTGTTCATATTATACAAAAGACTGCATTCGATATGAGATGCAGTTTACATGCATACAGACAACAAACCTGTCTTTTTATTATCGTCATTACACAAAACTGTTATTATGATAAATCTCATTAATTTAAATTAGATCCCCAAAAAGACTTTTAAGATTTACATGTTTATTTAAAGGTCGCTCAGTTTGTCTGGTAGATAATATCCATGTGGTTGTCTATTGGATAATTAGCCGTACATTAAGTCAAATGCAGACTGACGTTTTTCATACTAATTGTTAGTCCGTTATTTGTACATTGAATTGGCGACAGATTTTTCCGTTATTTCTAGGGCTGGGTATTGACCCGAGATTTCGTATTGCGATATATTGCGATATTCTTAACTGTATTGCGATATGTATTGCAATATTTTCAATGTCATAAAAATGGCATTTTCTTACTATATTTACTTTAATTTACATGCAGAATGTACATAGCATGATAAGTAACCAACACGAAAAAAAAAATCTTGTTGATTTCATTTAAGTTATGCTCTGAAATGTTCCCAAAAAACAACTTCTGACTTACTGTTTGGCTTAATAACAAACTTTCATAAGTCCATTTTTATATTTGATAACAAAATTCCTTAATCTATGCATATTGCCAATATATCGATATTACAAAATCGTATTGCAATACGATATTTTTTGTCACTGTATTGCAATATATTGAAATATCGATATTATTGCCCAGCCCTAGTTATTTCCCGATCATGACAAGGAGCACAGGGGATGCTCACTCCTCCATGGCACCTGATCCCAACTCTGATGTTTCAGAGGTCCGTGTTTGCTCTGCTCCTATTTTTTTTTATTGTTTTATGGACTTTGATATTCAATACTATTTGTTATCTCCATATCCTTCCATACAAAATCAATGTGACAGTCCTAATAAGTAACCTACATTCAGAAATAACCTTCCTTTTACAATAAAGGTTATCCCGGTCAATCAAATTATACATGTTGTAAAAAATACTTTCATTTCGTATAAATGAATACTAGCAACCATATAGCATATATAATATATTATATGTACATGTAATGCTTTTTACTTTTGTTTTGTTTTATATGAAAGCGTTACTAGTAAAGAAAAAGCATCTGCATGTAAACAAAATATTTATGGTTAGTAACTTCTAATTCTAAGTTCTAATTGTCAGCATAGCTGTTAATTTATATATTCATTGTAATCATCATTGAAAATATGAAAAAAGTTCTTTACGTAGAATTAATATTCTCCCACTAACATGCATGATTGAAAAGAATTAGAAGAAAAGAAACTTATACTTTCAACATAAAGATAATTGAAGATGGCGGATCAAAATTTATTTACATTATTATACACTGTATCAATTTATGGATGACTTATTGTTCCATAAAATTGCAAAAGTATTACTATTCAATTAGTTTGATTTTTCGACATTGTTATTTGAACATTGTAGCATGTTCAAGAAAAACAAGAGGATATTTAATATATTTTGATATTATACTGAATAAATTATATTTTAACCCAAACCAAGGTGATCTAACTTTCTAAGATTGATCTATGCTTAAGCAGTTTTATCTCCAGCACTTATTTGTACATTTCAAAATTAAATTATCATATCTGTGGAAAAAAAAGAAGAGAAAGAGAAAGTGTCGCAAATATGCAGTTCTATGATTACATTTTAAGATAATCATTAAAAAGATCACACAGTGTTTTCAAAAAGTTTGAATACTTTCAAATTTAGATTCTTTGAATGCAAAATCATTCCAATAAGCACTTAAATTACTCTAAAAGCGATATTTACTCCTATTAATGTGAAGCTAAAACTTGGATTCTTATAAAAAAAAAAGGGAAGGCTTTCTAGTCCTTATTCTAAGATACGAGAACTCTAGTATCTTGAAGGTGAAGAGATTATATTATAGGTGTTAGTTTTCAATAAGATCGGTAAACCCCTACCCTTGTAAATTTATTTATTATTTTTTTTTAAAAATACAACATTTCTAAACTTAAAAATGGCTTTTTAAACACCATTTATCCCGCCTTTCAAACCTTGAATATAATATATTCATTTCCAATTTGTTTCATCGTAAATCTTTTTCAGATTTCAAGATTGACGATTTGTTATAGATGTCAATAATTATACTGGATTTCAATCCATATTTATAATTAATTGTAAGGCAAAATTATAACAATGTTTTTTTTGCATTACTGATAGCTACAGTGGACTTTGTTCTGCTAGCAAAAGCTTTCAAATAACTATTAATATTCAAGAAAATTGATTCATTCAAAAATATTTTTAAAACAATACTTTTTCTATAGTTGTTTAACAACTAAATAATTAATTTTCAATACGACACAAAATGTTCAGTATTTATTTTTAGGTAAAATTCTGCTTAATTATACTTCCTGTAAATGATCACATTTTTACAGTTGAAGATTAAAGAAAAACATAATAAATACAATTAAAAAAAGACCATTATTGATAAAGGGTAAATCTCTTATTACCTTATCTTCCTCAAACTTAATAAATTTTTAACAGAGATGAAATGAATTGCAGATTGATGTCGACTTATTTTTGCTATGAAAGAACATTTATGATTAAAGCAAAACGTATTCCCCCATGTATCCCCAAGTTCCAAAGAGAATGCTTAAATATTAATGTATTATTTGTATGTTCTCTCACAACCAATGTTTTGTTATTTATGTTTTAAATTTTGTTCAAGATTTTGTATACAGAACATTAATTACTGAATAATTAAGATTTTCGATTTAAATTACCACGCTGATTATCATTTATAAACTAAT